CTCAGGCCTGGAGGGCTCCGGGCGGTGCGGGCCGCGGGGGGAGAGCCGGGGCTCCCGCGTAGCCGGAGGGAGGGAGGGCTGGTGCCGCCCGGCTTGGTCCTCCGGGACAAATTAGGCTGTTTAAATAAAGAGATGCATTTTCAAGGCGGCATCATCAGTGGAGGAAGCGACCTGTGCCCGTTTTTCACACCCTCCGTGTGCGCAGAGGGCAACTGGTTCCCGTTTATGGCTGCTCCGATGTCCCAGGACCTTCCAACCAGCAACGTCGTTCATTTTAACAGCCAAGATGCTAATTTAACGACTGCAGTGATTCCCTCAACGACTGTGGCAAGAAAGTGGAAAATGGGCCCAAAATAAGACTGCCTGTAAAAGACAGAAAAAAATGAGGCTCAAGGACTCCGGAGCGGGTCTTTCTCGGGAATTCTCCTTTCTGCGGCCAATTCAGAATTTGCAGGATGGACACTGAAGCAGGAAGACATGAAAGGTGTCAGAACTGAAGTAAAATGAAATGTTTATTACAATTGTCCCCATTGAAGCAGCCCTTCCCCATCTTTCCTGGTGAGCCCAAGTGATGGGGATGCTTTCCAAAGAGCCTGTTGGGTGGAGTGGTTAGTGTGCTCCTGGCCTGGAAAGCAGACTTGAGTTCTAGTCTCGTTTTAGGCATGAAAGCCAGCTGGGGGCTTTGGGCTAGTCCCTCTATCTCGCCTCAAAGGGTTGTTGTTATCTTAGGAGAAAGGAGCATTATGTATGTTTACTGCCTTGAGTTGCTTACAAAGCAATAAAGTATAAAAAAACTAATAAATGTCAACTGGCAAAGAGGTTGTTTTTGTTAGGCAATTTATATAGATAGCCCCGTAATCTCTCTCCCCCTCTATCCCGAGTTGCCTTGTTAAACACCAGCAAGGGAAAGCTACATATTAATGAGGATTAAGTGTCCAGCAAGTATTAGATGCCTGTTACAACAAAAAAGGAAATAATTAACCTAATGGGGCTTAGAGCAGAAAACGTGTTGCATTTTGCAAGGTTAACCCTTAAAAGGGGGGGGGGCATTTAGAAGAAGAAGTTTAATAAGGCAACAGGGAGAGAAATGATAGTACTTCCAAGGCTTCTTCCATCACTTGCACAGAGGTGTATTAGTGGAAAGGCTGATAGACAAAGTTTGTCTTAAGGGTTAATTTTTGTAGCTCCTCCTCGGAGGCGAAAGGAGGCTTTGAGCCAGGAGGAAATGGAGCAGGTTCGTTTTCCTCCGAAAGAGACCCCCTTACAAGCCCTCCTACTGGCTGCCTTGTCCTTCTGTCCTTCCCTTCTGGGCAGCAGTCCAGGCCCTGTTGGTGTTCTTGAAGGACCTTTGCCCTTTGGGACTGACTTACTCCTGTAGTGTGATGAAACCAAATATCGAGGCTCCTGCTGGAGAAAGCCCCGTCTTTAGACTCCGAGGAGAGCCTTCAACTGAACTGTGATTCTGGTTTTCTTAACATCAGTGGCTCCTCTGTGGCACACCTGCTACTTGGCGTGGGTGAAGGTCCTGGTATTTTGTTCTTCTGCCCATAAGCTAAATACATCTCGAAGGTGGAATGGGAAATTATTGTGCTTTGGTTCTTACCTAGAAATGGGGAGGGGTTCTTGTTTTTTAATCTGCCTGCTGTGCCCAGATGGTAAATATTTTTATGCTGAACTCGCCTTCTCCGATGGGCAGCATTTGACCCGTGTTCTGTACGTCTCTCAGCTTGCAGAAGAGGCTCTTTGTCCTCGGCGTGGCCTGCTGGGAAGATCCGGAGGAAGGAAGGCGAGAGGACCGGTCCTGACGCAGGAGGCTGCTTGTTCCAGGAAGACCTTGATCCGCTCTGTTTGGTCTTGCATGTTTGAGTTCAGAGGTCAGAACAAGGAGTGAAAAAAAAAACCTCACTGATCTTTACACGAACTCTGTTTATGACTGGCTGGCTCTGCGGGGGTCCCATTGTCGATGGGCGCATTTATACTGAACTCTGTGTCCAGCCTGGCTCTCCGGTTAATCATTCTCTAGAAAGCAGCCATGAGCGCAGCTGAGATCAAACCAGAACTTTGAGAAAAGCCTCTGGCTGGCAGAGACGCAGACGGACAGTCAGGCAGCTGCTGGCTCCCTCTTTTGAGCCCTCTGCTGCCAGCCTTCCTCTCCCCTCGGTCAGCAACTCTGCTGCGCCTGCAGTTTGGACTCTTAAAAGCCGCAGAGCCCTACTCCTTCCGTCCACTCTCTTTCTTGACCCCTGGAAGCACAGGCCCAGCCACAATGGCGGAGAAGAACTACAGCTATCACCGGTTTGTCATATTCACCGCTATGTATGTTGGGTACACCTTGTACTACTTCAACAGAAAAACTTTCTCCTTCGTGATGCCTTCAATCATGGAAGAGGTACCTTTGGACAAAGACGATTTGGGTGAGTTTTCGTTCCTACCTTCCGCTTCTTTGTTCATGGGATCCTTGGAGAGGGGACACCCGGGGTGCAGAGCCCTTTTGATGTTCTCAGAGGCTTCATACCAAGAGAGTCGGAGGGAATTTGAGAACCAACTTTATGCTTGGGACAGATGTCACTTTGCCAGGGAAACCTGCCGCTGTTTCTCAGGCGTTGCAGTTCTGCAGTTCCACTCTTTAGAGAGGCTGCACTATTGGGACAATATTGAATAGCTTTTATTCGGAAAGGAATTGCATGGCCAGATTTGAGCTCGGTCCTTGACTGGAAGGGGCAGAATGATTCTGGCTGCTTTAATAAGGCAGCAGGAGGAAACTCTCTGTGTGTTCACCTTGGCCACTCAGAGGCCACAGGGAGCCCACAGCCAGACCCGGTGCTCAAGGGGGCCATTTTACTGCCGTCCTGTGTCGGAAAAGCACCACTTCTTCTCTGAAATGGCTGCCATTTCTCCGGCTTTCCTTCTCTCTGGCCACGGCCGGTCTTGCTGCCCACCTTGTACTCAGGATCCGGATGCCCTTTCCGGCCAGGGCCTGGCGATTGGGCTCTTGAGGTTTTTCCGGGGCTCTCGTCCAATTCAGGTCTCATCACCAGCAGCCAATCTGCCGCTTACGCCATTAGCAAGTTCGTGAGTGGCGTCCTTTCAGACCAGCTGAGTGCCCGCTGGCTCTTCTCTTCCGGCCTCCTCCTGGTGGGATTGGTCAACGTGCTGTTTTCTTGGAGTTCCACCGTTGCCCTGTTTGCGGGACTGTGGTTCTTGAATGGACTGGCCCAAGGCCTGGGCTGGCCCCCCTGTGGCAGAGTGCTGCGCAAGGTAAGCGAAGGAGCCAATTTCCCCCCGGCAGGGGCTGTTTGGTGGGGGAGCAGCAGGTCAGGTTCTTGTCCCAGGGAAGCCAACAGAAGATGGCCCACGTGGGCAGCCCCTGGCTCTGCCTCTCCCCAGGCAGAGCTGCAAGCCGAGAACGCCGCCTTGGCTGAGAGCTTTTGGCTCTTTAAAGGAACCAAGACCTGCCCTCCTCGCAGCTGAGGAGAGGCAGAGGCCGTCCGACCTGTGCTCTGCTAGTCAGAGACGTCATTTTTCGAGGAGGGGCTTGGATTGGCAAGGGCAGCGGGAGCTATAAATTGCAAACCATATCATGTTGCTCTCAGATATTTTGGGGATACCAGTCACCTCCTTTGGCCCTGAGCAAGTGGCCTTGTTCAGAGGTGGTTCTGCCTTTGGTGGCTGGGAGCTGCCTTAAAAGACTGTAGGCCAAAGGCCAGTTGATCCAGAACCTCCTCACCCAAACTCTTTGGGGAAACTCTTAATCCCGTGGCTGCCGCCTCCTCTTCACGTTCCCTCACAGCTCCGCATTCAGAGGCAAGGGCTAAGTGTAGAAGCCGTGCCTGGAGTGAGCTTTCTGGGGCATCGTCTGCTGCATTGCTTGACTCCATTTGTATCCATGGCCTTGGAGAGGTGGAATTCACAGGGCGCCTTGTCCGTTGCCACTAAAAAAGGCGCTGTGTTTTTTCTCTCTAGTGGTTTGAACCTTCCCAGTTTGGGACTTGGTGGGCCATCCTCTCCACCAGCATGAATCTGGCTGGAGGAATCGGACCCATTGTGGCAGCATTGATGGCCCTGACCTATGCCTGGCGCACCATCCTAGCCTTCTCTGGCACACTGTGTGTGGTTGCCTCCTTGGTGTGTTTGCTCCTGATTAAGAATGAGCCTTCGGATGTAGGACTGCCCAACCTTGACTCTAAGCCCAAGAAAGGGAAACGAGGTGAGTACGTGGGGAAACAGGGCCCCTTGATCAGAGGTGCCATCTTCAGGGTCACGAAAGCAGCTTCCTCAGGGTTGCCCACCCCCCACCACTCCCCAGCCTTCTGGAGCGAAATGGAAACTTTGCTGTGACTTGATGCAGGTCTGAAATAAATATCCCTCTTTGTGAAGCTTTTCTTCTTATAAGCGTGTCTTCCATTTATATTGAGTCCCAATTACATATTGGGAAGTTGTATGCTGATCAATACAGCATCTTATAAGGCTAATCTGTCAATAAACCCGTCGGGCTTCCTTCCCTTTGAGGGGCAGAGAGGAAGCGCGCAGCCTGAGCGAGGGCCAGGGCAGAGGGGCGCAGGAGAAGCGTCAGGGTGCTGAGTGCTCTCTTTCTCACAGACTCCGCGAAGGACGACAGCACCTTGGCTGAGCTGCTGTGTTCGCCCTACCTCTGGGTCCTCTCCTCTGGCTACCTGGTGGTCTTTGGAGTGAAGACGTGTTGTACTGACTGGGGACAGCTCTTTCTCATCCAGGAGAGAGGACAGTCGGCCCTTGTGGGTAGGAAGCAGGCCCTTCCTTTCTCCTGGGGTTTTGAGAGCTTAGCACGTCCCAAAGGTGGACGTGGGGCCTGGGTAAACCACAGTCAGTGTTCTGGGGAACTGTATCTGTGGGGAGGTCTTTTGCGTGACTGACCAGGGGAGGAGCCCCGAGGGGCCCTGCAACAGGTAGGGATGCAGCCTCGCTGGAATTGCCCCCGTTTTTTTGCTCTTAGGCAGTTCCTATATGAGTGCCTTGGAAATTGGGGGCCTCGTGGGCAGCATTGCTGCTGGTTATCTTTCGGACCGTGCAGTGGCCAGGGTAAGCATGGAGGAGGAGGAGGAGGAGGAGGAGGAAGGGCATCCCTGAAAACCCTACGCAGTCTCTGCCTGGATGCCGAGACCGAGGCGGTTTTGTCTGGGATGGGTTGACAGACACTTCGTGTCAGGGATTTTGGATCCATGCACCTGTGTGTTGCAGGTGGGTCTCTCAATCTACGGAAACCCTCGGCATACCCTGCTCATCCTGATGATGGCCGGCATGGCTGCCTCGTTGTTCCTTTTCCGAGTCACCGTAACTGACAGCTCCCCCAAGGTAACTATCGGGAGGAGGCTCAGTTATACAAGAATGGCATTGAAGGGGAATTGGTCCCCCCCCCCATCTCATCTCATTTATATTGTCACCTGTTTGAGTAGTGAAAGGTAACCGTTTTGAATGCTTTTACCTTTAGGTAAATGCCACCTCTTGTGAGGATTTCCACAAGTAAAATGAATTGCAGTTTTAGAAACAAATTTTTAATGGAACAAAACAAAACAGTGCAACTTTCAGGGAAACAAAACTGGGTTTCTGAAATCAGGGGGAAATTCATTTCCTGGATAGATTCTTTGCTTCCTGAACTTTTGGCCATTACAAGCTCATCTACTGAAGCCATGATAGGCCAGTTATCGTTCATCCCAAACTGTGGCCTTTCCTCTGGCTTCAGCTCAAAAGGCTGAGAATTCCACGGATGTGGAATCTTCAGATACTGATGATGATGATGATGATGTCCCAGTCAGCAACGACGGGGCTCAATAGGTCTGCCGTTAATTTAACATTTTTAGCTAGCAAAGTGGCTTTGGAAAATTGCTGCTAAGGGTTTTCCCTTTCTGGGGTCTTTGCTTCTGCATACAATTATTACTGTGTTTTGTCTTTTCCGGACATTCTCTTCATGCTCCTTGCTCATTTCCCTTCTTTTTTCCCCAGGGAAATTATTCTTGGACTCAATTCCTCCATCCTCTGGCTGATCTTGTGGGCCTTACAGAACATGAGGTCTTTGCTTTATCTCTCTTTCTCTCTCTCTCTCTCTCTCTCTCATTTCAATCATTTTGTCGCTTCAGCCACTGATTTGATGGCAGATGCAGGGTCTTTAGCAGTAGCTGCTAGCCCAGGGCTGTCAAACTTGAGGCTCATGGCTGGATGCATCAAACACTGGCCACGCCCACACCATTTAGCGAGGGGGGGGGGTCAGTGTCACATGACGCCACGAGTTTGAGACCTCTGTGCTAGCCATAGAAGTGGGAGGCTTCCCTGAGGGGCTGCAGAAACAGTTCTCTCTCTTTCCTAGTTATGCTGTTGCAGTGAGACAACCAAGGTTTGATATTTTAGTGGTACCCTGATCTAAAAGTTACCTTAAAATAGCAGCTGGCTGAGGTGCTGTTATTTCCCACTTTCTTAAGTGGATTACTGAGAAACCACACTTACTGAAGGTTAAAGACTGCTGGGCTTCATCTAAGGTAGCATTTCGCAGACAGTGATGAGGAAAAGGAGCCCGAGAGGCAGATGCAGATAGTAGGGAAAGATGCCCTATTCGCACACCTGACCTTTTGTCTGGCTCCGTTTTTGTAGCTCTGGATCCTGCTCTTGGGAGCCGTCTTTGGGTTTTGCTCTTATGGACCAATTGCCCTGTTTGGCGTCATAGCCAATGAGAGCGCGCCATCCAACCTGTGTGGCACATCTCATGCCATTGTGGCCCTGATGGCTAACGGTACGTGAAAACATAATCGGAACCGGTGGAGGATCCGAGCCCACCTTGCAGCCAACACGCCCTTTCTCTTTTCAGTGGGAGGCTTCCTGGCCGGCCTGCCTTTCAGCACGATTGCCAAGCACTACAGCTGGGGAACGGCCTTCTGGGTGGTGGAGCTGATCTGCACGGCCAGCACTCTGGCCTTTTTCCTCCTGAGAAATATCTGCACCAAGATGGGCCGCGTGCCGAAGAAAGTGGACTGAAAGGCCGCACGGCTTCGCTGCAAAGGAGCCTCCTTCATCCACAGCCAGGAGCTCAGAGAGGCAGACGCTCTAAGCAGGTTGGCTGCCTGCCTTTACAAAGTGGTGGCAAAATCTCACCTGGTTGTTGCTGCCAGTTCTCATCCTTCAAAACTTAGTGGATGCCCTTAGTAGCGGGCAGCACCCGGCAGAGGGGACAGAGCAGCTGAATAGAAGTTTCACCCTGAGGAATTTCTTCACTCTCTCTCTCTCTCAAACACACACACACACCTTTTTGGTCTGTGTGCTCATTTCCTACATTACATTTTCAACTGACATTTTCCAACTCTTCTCACAAATTACACTCGGGTATAACCAAACAGGAGGTATGTTAGAAAAAAAGGAGCCATCTCTTACTCTGTTTAGGTTCAGTCAACAGCAGGTAAGCTTAGAAGTGGACTAAAAACTACTTTTAGAAATTGAGAAAGATCAAACTTTGTTGACTGTATCACAAGTATCAGTATAAACTGAGAGGTTCTATGTCCCATCGAACTTTAATAGAAGAAAAGCAGCGTTTTAACTGTTGGAACTGCCTAGGAATTCTGCAGCCATGAAGCTCTCCAGATGTAATTAGATGCCTTTAGGAATAAACCTTGCTACATTTACTATAATAGCTTCTAAATTATGACTGTTATATGGAATGCGTGTGTCAACAAAAATAAAAAATTGTCCAGTAAAAGCTATGTGTGTCCCCTGCTGAAGAGTTGCTGGGAATCAGGTGACATCTACCATAATAACTTGGACATCTGCCTATCCAAAGTCTTTGGGAAGGATTTAATAGGTGGGGAAAATGACAAATTCAGTTTAAACACCTGGTTGACTGAACGACCGTAATAATAAATATTTTTGTTGGATGTCAGTTTATCCCAAAGTCAAGATTAAAGTCTTCTTTAAGAATATTTTATTTCCGCATGCAATAAACAAAGTGCCAAGCATAAATTAAACACGTACATGTAGCCAACAACGTTTCCTTCTAACCTCCAGCAGCAGAGGTGGTCCAAACAAGGCCGGGTAGAGGGCCGGCTCTGGAATTGCTGGGAAGCCTTTCGGGTCCCCAGATCCAAACAGTCCGTTGGGCAACTGAGGTGGAAGAACTTCATCCTATAACCCTGGGACAAAGGGCCCGGCCTTCTCTGCCACCTCCAGGGCAAGTTTCAAGTTTTGATCAAAGAGCTCACATCTGGAACAGTAGCAGAACAGAAGCAGCCTTAGAATAAAAGGCCACCCTTGCTCCTCTCTCCACATTTTTCATTCTGTCTTTAACGAATATTCTTTTTTCACATAAATGTTTGGGTTCAGCATTGTCCCTGCATACTTATGGGGATATGCTAAAATATAAGCGGGTACATAAAGAAGACTGCAATGAGCCCGAAGGAAATGCCTTATATTCGTTCTCACTTGCACATCTTCCTGTAAGTTAACAGGATAGAGGGACGGACACCATGGAGGAGGAAAGGAGAAAGAAAAGAGTTTCTGGCAACACCCTTGACTTCCAAGAAAGCAGGAGAGAGGAAAACGGGAGGGGGGGGGCAACGGACCCCACAAGCTCAGGCACCAGGACCCCCCCCCCAAAAAAGAGCCTTCCTCAGGGCGGGTGGGGGGCTTGTGGGGAGGCTCTGAGCGCACCTGATGGGCATCTCCAGAGAGTAGAAGGGGTTTTTCAGGGCGAAGTCCGAGTAGATCTCGTAGATCTTGCGCAGGAGGGCCTCGATGCCGGACTGCCGCGGGTCGGCCAGCACCACGAACTTCATCCCTGCGGAGGGAAGGGAGGGAGAGCGAGGCCGAGGCCGGCATGGAGGAGGTCCCACCCCCGCCGGCCCCCTCGGCCCGGCCCGCCTACCTGTCAGCGTCTGGAAGCAGTGCAGCTTGAAGGTGTCCGTCTCCAGCACCTCGATGCCGGAGCTGCCCTGCTCGGGGGAGAGCTGCGACCCGATGGCGAAGAGCCTGCGCGACAAGCAGCGGCCGGTGGGCGGGCGGGCGGCCGGCGGGGGTGGGTGGGGGTCGCGCCCGCCCCTCCGCCGCCGCCGCCCCCCGCCGACTCACGAGTGGAACATGGAGGCCAGCATCAGCTTCTCGTTGGAGGAGAGCCGCGCGCGGCCGAAGCGGATGGCCACCGGGTAGTTGGCCGCGTTGCCCAGGAACTCCTGCACGTCCTTCCCGTCGGCGGTCAGGCGGCCGTTCACGTCGGCGCCGTTGATGGCCAGGACGGCGTGGCCCACTGCGGGGAAGGCGGCGGCTCAGCCGGACGGGCCCCCCAGCGCCCCCCCCGCCCGCGCCCCCGCCCCCCGCGCGCCCCCTCACCGCGGATGCCGTCGCGCTGCCCGAAGGCCACGAGCACGCGCTCGTCGTGCGCGCGCAGCACCAGGTCCAGCGGGAAGCTGAAGGTCTTCTCGGCCTCGGCCCGCGGCGCGTAGTGGTCCAGCTGGTAGACGAGCCCGCCGGCCTTGTTCACCACGAAGACGCTGAAGATGGCCATCGCGGCACCCGTAGGGCTGGCGGGGAGGGGGGGGGCTCGCCACGCCTCTTCCGGGTCCTGCCGGAAGTCGCCTCGGCCGTGGGGTTTCCGGCCTGCGCGGAGGGCCGCTTTCCTTTCCAGCCGGAAGCCGCCCAGGAGGAGCACGTTGCCGCGCCAGCTGCGCCATGGTAGGTAGGCCTCGGGCCGGGCGGGCCGGGGAGGCGGCTGGCCGGGCGGGCGGCTGACCCCTCTGGCTCTTTCTCGTTCCTCGCAGCCGCCCAAAGACGACAAGAAGAAGAAGGACGCGGGCAAGTCCGCCAAGAAGGACAAGGACCCCGTCAACAAGTCCGGCGGCAAAGCCAAGAAGAAGGTGGGCGCTGGGCCGGCGGGCGGGCGGGCGGGGGAGGCTGTGGGCAGTGTGGGCAGGCCTGACGGACTTCTCTCCCCGCCCGCGAGCAGAAGTGGTCCAAGGGGAAGGTGAGGGACAAGCTGAACAACCTGGTCCTCTTCGACAAAGCCACCTACGACAAGCTCTGCAAGGAGGTGCCCAACTACAAGCTCATCACGCCCGCCGTGGTCTCAGAGAGGCTGAAGATTCGAGGGTCGCTCGCGCGGGCTGCGCTACAGGAGCTCCTGGGCAAAGGTGAGAGGCCGGAGGGGTCCCGCTCCTCCCTGCAGGAGCCCAGCTGTGGGCCTTGAACCGTTGCAGCCGACACCTACACACACCCCCTCCCCAAATGCTGCTGCTCCCCCTCGCTCGGTTTTCTAAGCTTTCTGATCCTCTGATGCGTGTTTTCTCCTGGCAGGTCTAATTAAACTGGTCTCCAAGCACAGAGCACAGGTCATCTACACCCGAAACACCAAGGGAGGTGATGCACCAGCGGCAGGAGAGGATGCTTGAGAAGGTGAGCCCAGATGACCAATACTGTTCTGCACAGCCAAAGAGGATTGACTACATTACATCAGAAAGATCTAATTTCTTCTTTGGTTTGCTTTGCAGATTCTCAAATGGCTTTCAGTTACTTGTATACACAAAAAAATTAATTGATTAAACTCTTTGAGGCTTTGTAATGATCTCAGCAAGTGCCAATTATTATGCAAGGGGTAATATGGCTCTACTGTTTTTGAATAACAAAAAGATTTGCAGAATTTGGGTTCATGAAAATAAAACATTATGAAAGCATTGGCTTTATAACTGTGTGGGCAGTGCAAGTAGTGTCTCTCTTGATAAGTTTGCACAACTTGAATAAACAAGGGATATATCGAAAATCATAGATGAGCTCCTAACTTTGATGGCAATATTTTCTGCAATCTCATATTTGCTTTGTGGATCTTAGACAAATGCACCTTTTAATATTTTGTAATAGCTTACATTTATTGGAAACCATATTTTTAGTAAAAGCCATATACAATTATAACAACGGTTTTATTATAATGTAATACAATTGCGTGCATAAGGCTTAGAGGAGCAGAGTTCATTTCACAGGAGCCACCACAAAGTCTTCCGTAGCAGCAGCTGGGCTTCTTTTGATTAATGGGCTTTGAATTCTGCTGCCTCAGGGACGAAGACCTTTTAGCTGGTTCAAGGCCTTTTCCTCTTGGACCCAGGCTGCTTATTTGCAGATTCAGCTTTGAACTGATGTCTAGAAAAAAGACAAAGACAAAAAGTTGAAAGAGTTTATTCCTTTGTATTAAGGACAGGAACTTGAAGAGGCTGGATTCCTTCTGCTCTTCTGCAATGGGGGTTTCCAGCACCCACACAAAGGCTCTTCTGGCTATATATTTGTTATGCATTCCAGGGTCCACTTTGGGGGGGACGGGCGGCCATGCAAATGTAATGTGTTGATATTCACAATTGTTGGATTTAGGAAGCCAGAGAAGATTCCAATAATTTTGTTATCAGTTGAACTATGTGAAATGAGCCAATACATAAGTTATCATGTGCAACCATTCAACAAATAGAGAATCAATAAATGAGGAGGATGTGGTGGCAGCCAGGCCCTGACCTCTCCCCACACACACACACACACACTGCTGTCTATAGCAGCACAGGGGAGAGCTAAATCTAAACAGATTAATGGCGTTAAGTCATTGCCTTCTCAGAGGAAGGTGTGTGTTTACCTGGATTGCCACCTTCTACCATGATTCCAAACACGCCCAAAGGAGGGGAGCCAAGCATCTCCTGTCTGAGATGAATGGTCAAAGTTGGCCCCAACGCGGTTGGCCGGGAGCTGCTTCAGTTTCTGCTTCTGTCCTTTAAAGAGGACAACAGAAAAACAAAACGTTGAGTCATTCTTTGTTCAGTTCTTCCTACTGAGCCCCATAGGGACTTACCCTCGCACACTCACTTTCCTGAAGGTATTCTTCATAGGAAGGTCCAATCTGCCTTTCACCTTCCTCTTCATCCATCAGCCAGGGAGGTTTTGCTCCTCAAGATTGAAAAGTGGACAAATCAGGAAAACCCCACGTTTCTTTTCACGTGCCCAAGTTATATTGACCATAATGATATGAGAGCAGCTGTTCACAAAAGGCTCAAGGCTACACCGCGTATAGCCATGCAGCATGCAATTCATGGTTAACTCATTTTAAAGGTTTGTACACACACATGTACACGACTAAATGTAGTTGGCAAGTTATTGTTTCAGTATAGATTCTTTCCCCTCATGAGCCAATTGTCCATCATGGGCAAAGCCAGGCTCAACAGCCACTTCAGAAAGCTGACTCCAACCTACCTGTGTGAATGTTGCCCTCCCCACCTGTTTCCTGCATTTGGAACAACAAAAGAAAAGCCCAAATTAGTATTTTAGGGGCCCGTGAATCTGAAAAACCCAGGTGCAAAATTGCAAAGGGAAGAGTGAGTCCTGCAGCCAGAGGTATTGGCTCCCCAGTCCAGTAGGCAGCAGTGGACAGCATCCCTTTTCCCTCTTTGAGATTCTTGGAAAACAGAGGGTATAAGATAGGAGACTGAACCCAAGGCAGACGTTCACTGCTCGGTTGTCATGCTGCTGAACGTGAGAGGCAAGAGTTATTATTCCTAATGGGAGTACCTGGTGGCCAATGAAAGTTAACGGCTGCCCTGTTTCTGGGTAGTGCAGCTCAGGCACAGTGCTGCTGGGAGAAATAGGCTCTTCTCGAAGAAAAGTGGTGCTCCAGCTTGGCCCAGGCTGCTCCTGCTCTTCCATAGCAAAAGGAGAATCACTACAACATAGAACATTTGTCAGCACAAGCGAAACAGACTCAGCACCCAGGTAGTGTGAAGAGGATATTGCCAGGAATAGTAGAGGGATATAGAAGCTTTGAAGGCCTCTGATTGAAGGTAACTCCTACCTTAAATTCCCTGTAAATGTGTAAACAGCAGTGGTTCCATCACCTAGCGTGTCCGCTCTCTGTGGCTGAGTTTAATTCAGGAAAAACGCACTTGTTTCAAGAGACAACAACATATTTTGCAATATAGGAGATGCCTTCAAATTGTAATCTGGAGAGTGCTAAAATGAACCAGATTCAGCTAAAACACTCAGGCACTCATGCGAGCAAAGGAAATACCCCTAACCCAAGAGCATTTCCCCAGGGGAAAAAAATTAAAAAGGAGTTGTTGATAATAGTTAAATTACAAACTTAATTCCCAAATTACCATTTGAAATAATACTTGGGCCAGAGCACAAGTAATACCTTAAAACTCCTGGCAAATGGATTTGAGTTTAAATGCAGTGGGGGAAAGACAGGCAAAGAAAGGGAGCGAGTGGGAAGGTTCTGCAGAAACCATTGCGAATACAATGATGGATACTGCCCACTCTGAACTTGGGCACACAAACCTCTAAGATGGCCTGTACCATCTCTCGTCTCTTCTGCTCCATGTCTCGGATGTGAGCTGCAGCCTGCAATGAGGAAAGATGGAAAGAGGAACTCGGAGCTGAAGTCAGGTCCTTGTCCTTCCCTGAACCACTTGGATCCCCCCCCCAGATCTACCTCCTGGATGGCTGCATCTTCCTTCTCTTCATAAGCATCCAGGGCTTCACAGAGAGACTCCTGGAAGCTGGAAGTGTAAAGCAGCCCATCACTCTGGGAAGCAAGAGCCATTAATGCAGAGGTGACTAATTGTCCGTGGCATGGAGACACCGTCTGGGCTCTCCAGAGGCCTGGCACAGCCTCCCTGGTCAGAAATGTGTCCTAAGAACGGCTTCACAGACTGGCACAGGGAAGGCCACTAGCTCCTCCTATAACGACCGAAGACCGGAGCCCCACTCCCTGGTCACAGCCCAGCGGGGGGGGGGGGGGGGGGGGCAAGGGGAGCACCGGCCGGAAGCAGGTGGTCCGGGAGCCAGCCCTCCGCCGGCCGGAGCAACTCACCGCCGGTACTCCGCCGCGGACAGCAGGAAGTCGGCCTTCTGCTTGGGGTCGGCCCTGTTCTTCCTCCA